TGTCGATTTCTGGGTGGGGAGGATTATACTTAGGCATGGAATTCCATATGTTGTACTGATGTAGCAAACTACCGACTCATGTCATATACTTTTTTTTTTTTTTTTTTTGAAACTTTGCAAAAAGACAGGCATGGTGGCACATGCCTTTATCCCAGCATTCAGGAGACAGAGGCAGGCAGGAGGATCTCTGTGAGTTTGAGTTTGAAATCAACTCTACATAGTGAGTTTCAGGACAACTAGGCCTATGGGGTTCAGGGTGGGGAGAGGGGGGGGGGGGGAGAGAGAGAGAGAGGGAGGGAGGGAGAGAGAGAGAGAGAGAGAGAGAGAGAGAGAGAGAGAGAGAGAGAGAGAGAGATCCTTGTAAAAAAATTAGCATTGTTATTATTATTTTTTTGAGACAGGGTTTTTCTGTGCAGCTCTGGCTATCCTGGAACTTGCTCTGTATTCCAGGCTGGCATGGAACTCATAGAGATCTGCCTGCCTCTGTCTCCTGAGTACTGGGATTAAAGGCATTTGCCATCATGCTGGCTTCAAAAATTTCTTTGTTTATAAAGGAAGAAAGTGTGGCTGGAGAGATGGCTCAGAGGATAAGAGCACTGCCTGCTCTTCCAGAGACCTGAGTTCAATTCCCAGCAACCACATGGTGGCTCACAACCATCTGTAATGAGATCTGGTGCCCTCTCTGGCCTCCAGGTATGCATATAGGCAGAACACTGTATACATAATAAATAAATAAAGAAGTAAATCTTTAAAAAAGGGGTGGGAGTTTAAGCTTGAATGTTCCATGTTCCCTTTGCCCCAACAATAGTGAACAACAAATAGCTGGGCATGGTGGCTCATTCCTACAGGATTGTTTTTTTAAGAGCAGTTGGTTTACATATCAAGTTCCAGGCTAGCCTAGCCAGGGCTACATCTAAGACTCAGTTTTAAAACAAGCAAAGCTGATTAGTGGTAGAGCACTTTAAAAAAAAAAAAAAAAAAGATTTTTTTTATTATGTATACAAAATTCTGCTCCCATGTATATCTCCACACAAGAAGAGGGCGCCAGATGGTTGTGAGCCACCATGTGGTTGCTGGGAATTGAACTCAGGACCTTTGGAAAAGCAGTGGCACTCTTAACCTCTGAGCCATCTCTCCAGCCCCAGTAGACCGCTTTTCTATGCTTAGCTATTTGTCGTTGTTGTTTTGTGTGTGGGGGTGTAGCATATACACATGTGTGAGAGTGCTTGAACACATGTATACAAATGCATGTGAAGGCTAGAACTTAATGTCAGTGTCTTCTTGACTGCTTTCTGCCATATTTTTTGAGACAACAGTCTCTCACTGAACCTGGATCTCACTAATTCTAATAGAACAGCATGCTCCAGTAATTCACTCTGTATAACACCCCCATTCCTGCACAGTGCTGAAGTTACAGGTGAACACCTCTGTGCCTGCCTTTTCCATGGTTGTTGGGATCTAAATTCATGTCCTCATGCTGGTGGCATAAAATACTTTATTGATGGAATTATCTGTTAGCAGCCCCTGTGTGTTCTTGTTAGCTAATGGTTTTTGTTGTTGTTTTTCATATTTAACATAATTTTTTATTGAATCTTTGGGAATTTTACATCATGTAACCCAATTCTGCTTATTTCTCAACCCCTCCATATCCTGCAGTGGCTTCCCCATGAAAATTAAAAAATATCAAACAAACCATCAAAAACAAGAAGAAAAATGTAAGAACCAAAATAACAAAACAACAACAAAAAGCCTCTTCCTTCCTCCATCTTCCCCACCTTTCCAACACCTCTTCATTTGTCCTGGTGGAACGAATGGGAGCTGTGATGTGTTCAATCAGCTTTACTTGTAAATGTTCATTACAATGAGTCACTGGTCCGGTACAAGGCTTCTGGTTTCTGGGACACCATCATCACTAGATCCTCACCAAGATTCCTTGAATATCCGGAGGTCTCCTCGAGTCATGGGGATCCTGTGGTTATTGTTCCACAGGACAAGTCCCTTCATGAGCTCCAGCAGGCCCTAGATGGGGTAGATGTTAGGGTGGGCCAACCTCAGGCCTAGCTGTGGGTGGTAGTTGAGCTGATCCGTCTAGGTCACTGGAGCATCACCCTCAGGTGAGGGGATGGAACCAGCTTCCCTACACCCATGCTATCAGATGAGGGATGGGGTCATCTCTCCCTAGAGTGGGGGTGGAGGGACAGCTCTCTTGCTGTATTCATTGTCCAGCAAGACCTGGCTCAGCTTGGCCTCTCTAATTCCATCATGTATGGTTCTCATCGCTCCCTGAAGTGACACGGGCCACAGACCTCAGCTACAACGGGACTATGAACCCAGACATGGCCTAGCCACCAACGACCGACTTGTAAACTGTTTTTTGAAGAAGAAAATAATCTAATGTAAAAGCAAGTTTGAAATGGCAGTGGTTGGTATTCTGTGAACAAAAGATAGCAAATTTATGATGAATACACAGGAGATAGGTTTAGAAATAGATTCTCCCTTCCACAGTCTTCACTGCTAATAGATACATACTTCCTTTTTTTCCCCAAGGCTCTGAAACAAAAACAAATATAACATGGGCTTGCAATGTCTGAGGGAGCTTTTGAATTCTTTCTAAAGAGGAAATTGACTTTACCTAACCAGTGCACTTCCTGCATACTCTATCTGCTAAATGTTAAAGATTCATGCAGCACTTTGCTAGTCCAGTGCTCAAGTGCAGAGTTTCCTCTTAGAAAAGGATCTGAAATGTAGCACAGTGATCCTACTTGATGACTTTATTCTACCTGTATTGCATTTATAAGTTAACTGTGGTCTTCAAAAATGCAGGTTCTGGGACTGGAATTTAGCTTAGTTGGGAGAGTACTTGCCTAGCATACATGAAGCTGGGCATGAGGGCACCTACCCGTAATATTGGTGTTGGAGAGGTGGAGGAAGGAGGATCAGAAGTTCAAGGTCATCTTGAACTACATAAGAATTTTTAGCTGTGAGATCTTGTCTCAAAACAACAACAAAAAAGTTAAAATGCAACAAGTCCATAGCCTGCTACTGTACATACTAAAAATATGAAGCTGGCAAGAGAATTAGGGTAGTTTTAATAATCATATGAAACTACTATTGTTTGTAAAGCAAAGTGGGTTTTGGGAACTTGTATTTGTTTTTATTGCTGAAGATGGAATCCAGGACCTTGCACTGCAGGGCAAGTGCCCTGCCACTGGGTTATATCCTAGTTTATGTGTTTGCTTTAATTTAACTGTCTAACTTATAGTTACTATTTAAGTGAGAGAATATATGTGAGATACAAAGACCTTTTTCTCAACTCCTGGAACCAAGACTCTTAATCTCAGTTCCGTGGACTGAGGATAGTGTATCTCAGAATGTGGGCAGTACCACCTATGTATCTATGACAGTCCAGAGTTGTAAGCATGTGGCCCTCCTCCTTTTCCTTTAAGCTCAGTCTGTCTCAGATGGAACTCTGGCAGTCTGAATTAACAGCACACAGAATACCTTGGCAAAGAAAATTTCATAATTACTACTTGTTTCGATTATTATCCAGCCAGTCTAGCCCATCATTGAGCTCTGTGGTCTGTGAGAGACCATGTTCCCCAAAATAAGATGGACAGTGATGTAGGAAGACATTGCCCACATGCATGTGTGCACACGTGAACACACAGAGACACAAATGTAAAATGTAGCAAATTCGTAAAAATACAAATGACAACAGCAGCAACAACAAAGCTGAGTATGGTGATACATGCTTACCAAGAGGCCAAGTGAAACAAGTGAACACAGAAGAAAAGTATTACATGATCTTACTTATGTGGAATCTGGAAAAGGTCCAATTTATAGAAATGTGGAGTAGCATAATGGGTAGCAGGAGTATGGTGGGAAGAATAGTGCGATGGTAGTCCCAAAGCACCATGTTTTAGTTATGTGTGATGAATGTATTCTGGAACCCTAATTATAGGATAGGACTGTGGTCTATACTGGATTGTATTTTGCAAATTGCTAAGACAGATCTTCAGTGTTCTTACCATGTATATTAAAAAATAGTCATTGGGCATGGTGGCTCATACCTTTAATCCCAGCTCTTGGGAGGCAAAAACAGACAGATCTAAGTTTGACACCTGCCTGGTCTACAGAATGCGTTCCAGAACAGCCAGAACTACAGTTTTTTGTCCCCAAAATACTAAAGAATAAGTAAGTCAAGAGATGCATACATTGATTAGCTTGACAGAACTATCAGTTGACTGTGTATATGTATGTCAGAACATACTGTGTGCCATAAGTGTATATACATATACCTCAATTAACAAAAAATTTCGTTGCAAGACAGAGTCTTGTTATATAATCTGAGCAGGCTTCAAATTTATGAGGCTTTAGCCTCAGCCTCCTGAGTGCTGATATTACAGACATGTTCTATCATGCTTGGCTACATTAAAATTTTCTACTAAGCTGAGTCCAGAGGATCACAAGATCAAAACTAGCTCCAGGCCTGAAGACCTTGTCTTATCTGTCTCCCCTTTTTAAAAATAAGTCTATTTGGGCTGGTGATGCATCCTATAATCCTAGTACTTGGAGGGTAGGAAGATTATAAATTTGGGGCCAACCTAGAGTTACATAGTAGGACCCTGTCTTAATTAACAAAAGAAAGGGGAGGGAGCTTGAATACATAATAATTCAGCAGTAGAATGCTTGTCTAGGGGCTGGAGAGATGGCTCAGGGCTTAAGAGCACTGACTGCTCTTCAATTCCCAGCAACCACATGGTGGCTCACAACCACCTGTAATGAGATCTGGTGTCCTCTTCTGGCCTGCAGGCATACTGTATACATAATAAATAATAAATCTTAAAAAAAAAATGCTTGTCTAGCATGTGTGAGGCCCTAGGTTCAATCCCAGCACAGAGGGAAGATGGTAGTTGTTTGGTACAATTAGTAATTATGAATGGTGCGTATACTGACTTTCCCTATAGGTTCTAAATTTGAGGTTTTTATGTTCTTTTTAGATAAAGGAGAGTGCTTCACAGACAAGAGATGTCCTCAAACAACATTTTAGTGATTTAAAAGGAACCCTTGGAAAGCTGTTGGATGAGCGACTGGTGACCCTTTTGCAAGAGGTGGACACCATTGAACAGGAGACCATCAAACCATTAGATGACTGCCAGAAGCTCATAGAGCATGGAGTTAGCACCGCTGATGACCTGGTCCGAGAAGGTGGGACTCCAGGGAACTTATTAAATCCTTACATTCTAATTGACACCTGGCTGATTTATTTTTTGTTGTTGTTGTTTTTGTTTTTGGAGACAGGGTTTCTCTGTGTAGCTTTGGAGCCTGTCCTGGCACTCTATCTGGAGACCAGGCTGGCCTCAAACTCACAGAGATCCACCTGCCTCTGCCTCCCAAGTGCTGGGACTAAACGCATGGGCCACCAACACGTGGCCTGATTTCTTAATATATTATCAGGCTTCTTGCCATCTGAAGGCAAGACCTGGGATGTTTCTACCTTGAGACAGTTTATAAAATAGATAATGCTGTGAGAGATACTAGTCTAAGAATTGATTGGATCATTTATAAAACAAAAAGTGGAGGCAGGAGGATCTCTGTGAGTTCAAGACCAGACTGGTCTACAAGAGCTAGTTCCAGGACAGTCTCCAAAGCCACAGAGAAACCCCGGGTGGGGGGGGGCGCAGTGATTATTTGAAAAGGTTTTTTTTTTTTTGGTTTTTTTTCGAGACAGGGTTTCTTTGTGTAGCTTTGGAGCCTATCCTGGCACTCGCTCTGGAGACCAGGCTGGCCTCGAACTCACAGAGATCCTCCTGCCTCTGCCTCCCGAGTGCTGGGATTAAAGGCGTGTGCCACCAACACCCGGCTAGAAAAGGTTCTATGATTATGGTATTCACAATTTTTGAAGGGGTTATGCAGTACTTTTTTAAAATTATATTCTTGGGGGGGGGCACTCACAAATGCCACAACACAGGCATAGGACAACCAACAAAATTGGTTCTCAGCTTCTACCATATGTATCCCAGGAATAGAGCTGATGTCCGCAGGCTGGGTGGCAAGTACCTTTGGTTACCTACTGTGCATCTTACTGGCTCATGCATTACATTTTAAATCATGTATTCAGCATGTAATTTCAGATTATTTTTACAACTTTTTATAAAATTTTATCTACTGTTTTGTTTTATGTTTTTGAGACAGAGTCTCCTGTTATTGTCCAGACTGCCATGAATTAATTCTCAGCAGTCTTCTAACGAAGCAGAATGGGTACTGGGTTTACTGGTCTGAGCCATCATACCTAACTTCATTCTTAGTGCTTTTTTTTTAGTGGGGGTTGTGAGACAGGGTTTCATTGTGTAGCCCTGTTTGTCCTGGAACTCTCTGTAGGTCAGACTGGCCTACAATTCACGAAGATCACCTGCCTCCCACTGGGATTAAAGGAGTGTGTCACCACTGTCCAGCTAGCTTTAGTTCTGTTTGTTTGTTTGTTTGTTTGTTTGTTTTTCGAGACAGGGTTTCTCTGTGGCTTTGGAGGCTGACCTAGAACTCGCTCTGTAGACCAGTCTGGTCTCAAACTCACAGAGATACCCGAGTGCTGGCTATTTTTAGTTCTTATATTCCAGATTTTAGGCAGGTTTTGTTGTTGTTAAGTCATCTGTAAGTCTTAGATTGTTCATCTCTATCTTCCTTCGTTGATGTTGACCTTCTTCCAGTGCAGGCCTTTTATTAGGTATATTAAATAAAAAGGTAACAGTTCTGTTCTTTGTGGTTTGTAATTCAGTGAGAGTCTTGCTGAGTAAGATAAAAAATCTTACTGAAGAACAAAGGAATCTGTCTGGGGAAGTATAGGACAGCCTTCTGTGGGAGTTCCGCAGAGGCTTGGAGAAATTTGTCAAGCAAAGGAAAAAGGCAACTGTGATTCTAAGCAGAAGTAACATCGGAGTGGAGTGAATGTGAAGGATCTGTTTCAGTCGAGAGTTACATAATGGGATTGGCCCAGGCCTCGAAATTGCTGTGTAGCTAATTGTAATCCTCAATGAGACATGTTTATTTTTTACTGACATAATAGTGCCTTTGAGAAAATTCTTTTTAGCAGAACCACAGAATGTCTTCCCCTTGAGGTTTTGAATTTGGAAACAGACCCAGAAGCAGGTCAGCACAGGGCTGGAGTGTACACACCCATAACATTAAAGACTGTGCTTTCATTTTTGAAAATTCTTTGAGGCACATACTTGTCATACTACTTAATGCTTGAATTTTTTTATACTTCGAAAACATTTTTAATTTCAAATTCTTCCCCCTCCCCCCTACAGAGAAGACAAAAGCTTCTTTCTGTGTGTGTAATTAAGTTGATTCATTTGATTTTTACATTTGCCTGCATATATGTGTATGTGCACCACATGTGTGCTTGGTGCCTGTGGAGGCCAGTCCCCTGAAAGTGGAGTTACAGATGGTTGTGAACTACCATGTGTGTGCTGGGAAGCAAACCCTGGTTCTTTGCAAGAATAAGTACTCTTAATCTCTGAGCCATCTCTTCTGAATCCCTCATCTTTTTTTTTTTTTTTTTTAAAGACAGGGCCTCATAACCCAGTCTGGCTTTGAACTTCCTATTAGCTAAAGGTGACCTTGAGCTTCTGATTGCCCTGCCTCTACCTCCCAAGTGCCAGAGACTTTTGAGGCAGTGTTCAATATGTCTGTGTTTTCTTTTAGTAAAGAAAGTCATATCCTCCCAGAAAACTTGATTTAGGGCTGGCAAGATAGCTCATTGGGTAAAGGAGCTTGTTGCCAAGCCTGATGCCCTGAGTTTGATCTTGGGACCACATGGTGGAGGGACAGGACTGACGCATGCAAGCTGTCCTCTGACTTCCACATGTGTGCCATGGAATTCATGCCCTCCCCCAACTGAATGAATGAATGAATGAATGAATGAATGAATATAATCATAATTAACAAAAAACTGTAGTAACTTCAGTCTGCATTTGGATGATGTAATACTATCCTTCATTATATCAGAGGATAAAGAGATTGGTCATTTTCATGCCCTGTATAAAGCATTTCCTTCTTATTGTGCTGTTAAATAATTTCTTTTGTTGTTTTGGTTTGTTTGTTTGTTTGTTTGTTTGTTTGTTTTTATCTAGACAGGGTTTTTCTGTGTTGTCCTGGCTGTCCTGGAACTTACTCTGTAGACCAGTGTGCCTATGCCTCCCAAGGACTGGGATCAAAGTCTTGTGCTACCACCATCCAGCCGTTGAATAATTTCTGATCCAATGTATAATGTGCTTTCACGGAAATCTAACTGCATCATTTGACTTTTGAGATAGGGTCTTATTATATAGCACAGGTATTACGAGAAGATCCGTAGTCTGTAAGGTTAAGATATCTTTATTTAGATAAACACCAGCCAAACGCAAGCCAGAGTGTGCCAGGGGCAGCAAGGCAAGCAGGCCAGACAGAAGGGGCTCCCATGTGCCTTGCAGCCCCTTAAAAACCTATCATGCATCATCCTGACCTCACCTTGACCACGGCCTAACAGACGTGGTCAGGCACACCTGTAGCCAGCTTCTAGCAGGCGTGGCTTACACTGTCTCCTACACACTGGCTTGTCTCAAACCTCAGCCTTCCTTACAAATACTAAGATAATAGGCATGTACCACCCCAGCTGGCATCATTTGGCTGTTTAAGATCCTGTGTCCTTTTGCTGCTCTTAGGATAATAACTTTGTTCCTGTTAAAACTGATAAAGAGGAGCCAGGAGTATGGTGGTTCACCCCTGGAATCCCAGCACTCAAGAGTTCAAGGCAGAAAGAGCTTGTGAGTTTGAGGCCAGCCTAGTCTATATAGCAAGTTTCATGTCAGCCAAGTCTATTAGTGAGACCTTATCTCAAAAAAGTCAGAAAAAAAGGGCTGAGCAGGTGTCTAAGTGGATAAAGGAGCTTGGTACCAAGCCTGATAGCCTGAGGTAAGTCCCTGAAACTCACATGATGAAGAAAAAAACAAAACACAACTCCCACAAGCTGTCATCTGACTTCACATATGTACATATCTCCCTCAGTAAATTAATGTAAAAACCCAAAGCAGGATAAAAAAAAAAAGTTAAAGAATTGATACAGAGGAATGAGGAAATGTCCCTGGCTTTCTGATCTGTGTAAAATTGGTTGTTGAGCTAGATTTGAAGTTAAAAACAGAATCTTTGGTCTTTGTTCTCTCTGGCTTGCCAAGTCATTTTGAGAGTTTGATTGTGTGCCACTTGGGAATTAACTTGCAACAAAACTAGAAATCTACAGTTAAACATGAGTTGTTTTGGTTAATGTGTAACATTGACTTTAAAATGTGACTGTGTTTTACTGAGCTAGTTTTCCCTTTTTTTTGGTTTTTCGAGACAGGTTTCTCTGTGGCTTTGGAGGCTGTCCTGGAACTAGCTCTTGTAGACCAGGCTGGTCTCAAACTCACATAGATCCACCTGCCTCTGCCTCCCAAGTGCTGGGATTCTGAGCTAGTTTTCTTACCCTCAATTGTAGGTGAGATCGCCATTCTTGGTGGTAAAGAAGAACAGAATGACAAATTGTGGAACTTTACCAAAAAGGCCTCACATATTCAGTTGGACAGGTAAAAGAGTTTGTCCCTTTTGAACTTATTTTTATGGGTATTTTTTTTAAAGATTTTATTTATTATGTATACAACATTCTGCTTCCATATATATCTGCACACCAGAAGAGGACACCAAATCTCATAACGGATGGTTGTGAGACACCACATGGTTGCTGGGAATTGAACTCAGGACCTCTGGAAGAGCAGTCAGTGCTCTTAACCTCCGAGCCATCTCTCCAGCCCTTGGACTTATTTTTAAACACTTAAACGATTTTGCTTCCCTTCCAATCTTCGCCCTCCTTACCTCCATGGTCTCCATTAAAAATTCTGATTACAGGAATTACAGAATCTGTTTTTCAAGGTTTTACTGCCCATTATCGTTACTACTAGTATCAAATGGCTGTAGTTGAAAACTTTGATATAGTACAATTATAGATTTTTTTCAATTCCAGTAGTTAATAGAGTTGTTAAATTCTAAAAATTCTGGTATGTGTTTTCAAAGCAGCACTCATAATGACATAATTGGAGCAATACATAGAGGATTGTCGTGGTCTCTGCACAAGAAAAAACATTCTGAATGCCTCATTGAAACCAAATCTTTTTTATTTTTTTTCTCTCGTTTTTGGAGACAGGGTTTCTCTGTGTAGCTTTGGAGCTTATTCTGGCACTCGATCTGGAGACCAGGCTGGCCTTGAACTCACAGAGATCCGCCTGCCTCTGCCTCCCAAGTACTGGGATTAGAGGCGTGCACCACTGATGCCCAGTGAAACCAAATCTTATTTCAGTAAAAGAGATCATTTGATATAAACAGTTGTGATTTTATCAGTTTTGTCTTTTGTTGTTGTTGTTTGCTTTTTTTTTTCTTTTTTGGTTTTTCGAAGCAGAGTTTCTCTGTATTGCTTTGGAGGCTGTCCTGGAACTGCTCTTGTAGACCAGGCTGGCCTCGAACTCACAGAGATCTTCCTGCCTCTGGCTCCAGAGTGCTGGAAATTAAAGGTGTGTGCCACCAACGCCCAGCTCTTGTTTCTTTTTAAGGCAGGGTATCTCTATGTATTCATCTCAGGCTGACTTCTGGCTTGTGATTCTCCTGTCTAAGTCTCCTGAGTGATGGGTTTAGGCATATGCTATTATACAGTTTACAGGTTTTTGCTTTGCTTACGATTATCTCGGAAGAGAATCTTTAATATAAAGATGAAAGCCCCTCACAAAAACACCTCCAGCGTATTTGCTGAGGCTTTTAGGATTCTTCTAGCATGTGGCCAGTCTAAAGTAAAGTCCTTGCATTTTCATCTCCAAGTTAAGCATGTCTTAAACACATGACTTTGTTTCCTTAGCTTACCAGAAGTGCCTTTACTAGTTGATGTACCCTGTTTGTCGGCTCAGTTGGATGATTCCATTCTTAACATAGTGAAAGACCACATTTTTAAGCATGGAACAGTAGCTTCCCGCCCACCAGTACAGATTGAAGAATTAATAGAGAAACCTGGAGGCATCATAGTACGGTGGTGTAAGGTATGTACCAAATTGCAGAAATGGACTCAACATTATGGGTTTGTGATTGAGGGGGTTTAAGATTTGTTTAGTTAGTTAGTTGTTTAGTTATTTGCTTACTTATTGGTTTTTTTCCAGACAAGGTTTCTCTGTGAAACAGCCCTGGCTGTCCTGGAACTTGCTCTGTAAACCAGGCTGGCCTTGAACTCACAGAGATAAAAAAGAAAAGAGAGACCTGATTCCCAAAAGTTGTCTCCTGCCCTCCACATGCCTGCTGTGGGGCATGCACAGGAACACATATACACACATATCTGTACCAGAGTATACAAAATGGCTTCTACAAGCTATTTCCCCGAAATGATTTTTTTTTTTTTTTAATTGAAGCTTTTGTATAGAAGAAAGAAGTAGAGATGCTTTTGCTGGATTAAAACAAGGATTCTCAGTACCCATATTCTCCTACCGTTATCACCAAAAAACTTCGTAACAGAAACCCTCAAGGACTCTGGTTATTTCCAGGGTTTTTGTTTGCTTGCCTTTTCCTTTTGTTGTTATTTTGTTCTTGTTTGTATTTCCTTGTGCACACATGTAAGTTTTTTTCTAAAGTATATCTTACTGTGAATTATGAGATTTTAGTGTATTGGATCTGTATTGGGTAAGGCCAGATGTTTTCCCTTACTTTTGACTTGGTTTTGGAGGGAGAGCAGGGCCTTGCTATGTCTCAAACTCATCACAGTCCTCCTGTCTAACTCTCCAAATGCTGGGATTACAGGTGTGTGCTACCACACCTTATATGAATACCTACTATTCTTTGTCTTTACCAGAACTTAGGATTGTCAGGCTTATGTTTTTGCACAAATGCTATCTCATTATGGTTTTACATTGTATTTCCATATTTGGCTATTCATGTTTATTTCATATCTTTTGCTTTTTTTTCCTTTTAAAAAATTATTTTTAGCCTGAGGTTGTCATATGGCCCTGGTTGGCCTAGAACTTGCCAAGGAGCTGAGACTGTGACTCAGTGTTACAGAGTGTTTGCCTATGCAAGGTACTGGGTTTAATCCCTAGTACTTTACACACAGAGAATAAATAATAAACTAAATGAACAGTTTGGCTTGTAGCCTAGTCTGATCCCAGATTGGTTATCCCTTTGCCTTATCTTTCTAAGTGCTGGGATTATAGCCATATGCCCCTCTGTTCAGCTCTTCTTTCCCTCATCTTTTTCTTTTTAAATTATATTTTATTTGTGAGAGGGGCATGCATGCCACTTCAAATGTCTGAAGGTTGAGGGACTTCCTGCAGGAGTTGTCTCATTCTACCATGTGGGTCTTGGGGATTGAACTCAGATCTCCACCAGGATTTGTGTCAGGCACCCTCCTGCTGAGCCATTTTTGAGTCAGAATCTCATGTAGTCCAGGCTAGCCTTGAACTTGCTATGTAGTTAAGGCTGGACTTTAACTACTGTGCCTCTTGTCTACTTTTTTAGCTGTTGTGATTAGAGGTATCGTTACCATCCCCAACTTCAGATTGGGTAATATTAAAGACATTTTTCAATTTAAAAAAGAAAAAAAGGTAGGTTGGTAAGATGGCTAAGCAGATAAAGGCATTTGTTATGAAGCCTGACAAGCTGAGTTCAGTTCCTGGACTCCCCGTGGTAGAAGAGAACTGACTCCCACAAGTTGTTCTCTGACCTTCACATGTGCTTTGTGGTAATGCATATATGTTTGTACATGCACATACCTACACACAAGTAGAAGGAAGGAGCCAGGCATGATGATATCATAGCATTCGGGATGGCAAGGAGGAGGATGGTGAGCCCACGGCCAGTCTCTACAGTAGAGCAAGACCTGCTCTACAAAAAGAAACAGAAGACAAAGAAAAGGAGAAGCAACTGGGTATGATAATGCATATCTATATTCCTAGCTCTCAGGAAGCCAAAGCAGGAGGATTATCATGAATTCAAGGCTGGCCTGGGCTACATATAGTGAAATCTCAGGAAGAACAAAAAGAAAAAGAAAATAGTGATAAGCATGTTGCCTGTGCCTTCCCCATAGTGTTCCGTATTGCCCCTATTCAGCAAATGGTTTTTGTCTAGATGTTCCCGTTTGTTCTGGTTTTTACCTAACTTAAAAAATCTTTCTCCATAGGTGGATGATGATTTTACAGCCCAAGATTACAGGCTCCAGTTCCGTAAATGCACTGCAAATCATTTTGAAGATGTGTATGTAGGGTCTGACACTGAATTCATAGTGTTGCACATAGACCCCAATGTTGATTATCAATTCAGAGTCTGCGCCCGAGGAGATGGCCGGCAAGAGTGGAGTCCTTGGAGTGTTCCCCAGACAGGTCACTCCACATTGGTGCCTCATGGTATGTTCTTACCTTGTCACACCTGAAACTCAATAGAGTATAGGGAAGTTTACCTCCTGTGCTGAGAGTGGTGCACAGGTAACCACTTTCCTAAGGATGATCTTGAATTGAGAGAAGAACGTGGAACCTGCCTTTTACTCAGATCATTCCCTGTAAATTGTTTTCATCAGCTCTTGTCTTTGGAATTCAAAATTGAGCATCACCCAAAACCACAGGTTGAAAACAGTGCCTAGAAAACACACACACGCACGCACGCACGCACACCCATCCATACCCATAGCCCTGGCTGTTGCTGGAACTCTCTTGGTAGACAGGCTGGTTTCAAACTCACAGAGATCTTCTTCCTTCCTCTGCCTTCCTCGTGCTATGATTAAAGGTGTGAGCCACCACCACTTCGCTTGTTTATTCATTTTTAGTATGATGCTTTTGATTGAAATCAGATCCTTATACATGCTAATAAATACATGCTCTATTATTTATTCAGGTTGTAATATCCTCAAACTATTAAATTTGAACATTATGTTTTTTTTAGATAGAAGATGACCATTGTGTGATTTGTTTTTTTTGATTTGTACAGGAATTTACCAAACTTTTTGTAATTTGTGACTCCAACTCCAATACTCTGTTACTAAATCTTTTATTAAACTTAGCTAGGACTGCTCTAAGTAATTACTTTCATTCAATTCTGTTTAAGGTGTCTGTATTCAGTATACTCTTGAAAAGATTGTAATATTTTTTAATGACTTTCCTTTTAAAGAGTGGACACCTGGCTTTGAGGGATACAGTCTGAGCAGTCGAAGAAATATAGCACTCCGGAATGATGCTGAGTCCTCGGGTGTGCTCTACTCCAGTGCTCCAACCTACTTCTGTGGGCAGACATTAACATTCAGGTAAGTAGACTGAGAAATGCCTGTCATGCCTCTAGCCGTGTAATGGAGTGTGTGGGGTGTGCATGAGTTTGAGTTTGATATATCTCAGCTTTAGTCCATCACTTATATGTAGTGTCAGTTTGGCAAGTTTTTTGTTGAAACAGGGTCTCACTATGTAACCCCAGTTTGGCCAGATGACCAGATTGGACTCAGACTCAATGAAATCTGTCTGCCTCTGCCTCCCAAGTGCTGGGATTAAAGGAGTGCACTACCACATCAAGTTTTTTGGCAAGGTTTTTAATTTTTCCTCTGTTTCAGTATAATTGTCTATATCTGTGGGGTTATTGTGAAGAGTAATGGATACTGTATATGAAATTCTTGGTACTTGATATGCTTGTCTCTTTGCTCTTAGTAAGTAGGGATAAATAGAATACCTCATAAAAGTGATTTTAAAAGTCAGAGGTATAAGCACGCCTTTAATCCCAGCACTCGGGAGGCAGAGGCAGGCAGATCTCTGAGTTCAAGGCCAGCCTGGTCTCCAGAGCGAGTGCCAGGATAGGCTCCAAAGCTACACAGAGAAACCCTGTCTCGGGGGGAAAAAAAAAAAAAAAAAAAAAAAAAATCAGAGGTATGGGACATGATGATGCAGACCTGCAACACCAGAACTCAGGAGATGGAGAAATTCAAGGATGGCTATAGCTGCAAAGCAAGTCCAGCATGGGCTGTACAAGATCCTGTCTATAAAATAAACGAGTGGCCAAGAATTATTTCCATTTGTCAATCATTTGTCAATGAGAGTAAGTTTCTGAAAAGCAGCTTAATGTAAACGGAAGTTTCTGTGCTGCCTTGTCCTGATGCTGATTAGTCCCAAATAAACACACAGTAGCTTATATTAATTATTAACTGTTTGGCCAATTGCTCAGGCTTCTTATTGGCTAGCTCTCATTAACTATTAACACATTTCTATTAATCTGTGTATCGCTTCATGGCATCTCTCTCTGGTCACTGCTTCCCTGCCTTTCCTCTTCCCAGAATTCTTCTAGTCTGGTAGCCCTGCCTATACTTCCTGTCTGGCTACTGGTCGATCAGCATTTATTCATCAACCAATAAGAGAAACATATTCACAGCTTACAGAAGGATATCCCTCATCAGCTTGCTGTCGTGAACACACCATATATACAACTCTGTAAAATACAACTGAAAGCAAACCTCTTTTACCATCAGTCCATTTTCCTTTACCTACTTTTCTAAATGGGAAACATTTCCTTCTTGTTAACCCGACCAGTGTGTTCTGTGGTCATATTTTTTTTTTAAAGATTTTATTTATTTATTATGTATACAACATTCTGCTTCCATGTATATCTGCACACCAGAAGAGGGCACCAGATCTCATAACGAATGGTTATGAGCCACCATGTGGGTGCTGGGAATTGAATTCAGGACCTCTGATAGAACAGTTGGTGCTCTTAACCTCTGAGCCATCTCTCCAGCCCCTCTGTGGTCATATTTTTAAATAGCTCTTTTTACAAAACCAAAGCTCAAATGTTTTGTTTGCTCATTTATTTTTGGCAAAGCCCAGTTTTAATTTGAATGATCTAGCATGTGTCTGTTCTCCTGTTTTTTTCTTTTTCAACTATTCAGTATTTTATGCCTTTTCTTTCTTTAAGTTTTGAATTCTAAGATTATTTAATTTTTTCCCAAGATTATTTAGTATTCCACCCCAATCTTTCTGTTTTTTTTTTTTTTGTTTTTTTTTTTTTTTTTTTTTTTTTTTTAAAGTTTTTTT